ACAGGGCAACTGACTTCCAGTATGCACATGAGTGACTGAGCTCCCTGGAAATAGCTGGGAAGCCAAGCTACCCTTCAGACTTATTTCAATGCCTTCTTGCTTTGGCAGAACAAATGTGGAAGCTGCCTCTACTTATATTAAATAGAAAAGGAGATACCAGTAAACAGTTAAGTGGGGTCTTGTTTAGAGAACAAATCTTTTTAATATGCTGCCAAACTATGCTAAACAAAAACTGTCAGAATCTGTTAAAATAGCAGAAAAGCAATATTGCTCGGTACAAAACTGATTTTGCTAGCATTTGCTCACAAACCGCATCACACATTTAGTCCCGTTTCCCCCCTGAACTCTCAGCAATCCAAGACAGCTCCAAATGATGTTTCTTTTAGTTTTCATAATGTGTTAAGTAGGGAAGAAAAGCCATATGGCATTCCTTCGCCTGGCAGGGCAGGCAGCTCCTCATTAGGCTGCTGACCTGAAACGTAATCTCCACCATGACCTGTGGAGAAATGCCTGGGACCCACCTGCAAAGTAAAAGCCCTTTTTTGAGAAATAATGCCAGATTCCTGGCTGATGGTGAGCTCAATTCACCTTTAGGAAACTTGGTCAACTCGTGTTTCTTTGCTGTGGTGTCTGAAGGCAATGACGATTAAAGAGCTGATCCTATTTTTGTTCTCCGTTTGTCTATCATCTGCTGTATGTAACATGCTGAATTATACACAAGCAACGAGTTTTCTCTTCTATCTGTAGCCCTGGCTTGTGGCCTGACCACCATGCCATCTGCGTGTACAGTCCCTTGCCTGCAAGAGAAGCCAGAATTTGGAGGGCTTGTGTAGAGAGACCAAAATTTCACTGAAAACCACTGCTAACCAGTATGTTCCAAGTGTCCTTAACCATTGGTATTACAGTATCCACAGCAGAAATAACCAACCACTTGTTACACAGTGTGCTCTGAACCATCCCTGACCTCTCTAATTAGGGACATTTTGTTTTCTAAACTGCAAAATTCAACACATTAATCAAAAGTCAAATGCTTTACCACAAACTAGATACAGTGTGGGCTTTCCTTCTCCTGCAGTTACGAAATGCATGTGTCTGCCACACACAACTACAGAAATAAAGATGTATTTTTATAGAGCTGAAGTAGCAGATTTTGTATTAAACATGACTTCATAATCTTAAATTGTCTATAAATAAATAAGCATTATAAAATTTTATATGAAAATAATCATGCCATTAATCCTATTAAATTACTCTCTGCTGGCTCCTACCCAGCAGTTGCATGGATTCAGTGATTGTTGCCTCTCAAAATCCAGCCTACATTGAAATCATCTGCTTGGTCAGGGCAGTGGCATTTTCAATGAGGAGGCAAAATGAAAAACACTTTGAGAGCCAGAGCTAAGGAAATTGCTGGTCTTTTTCTCTTCTAAAGTAAGTTAAAAATGATCACTGGGCCTATTATAATGAAGACAAGATAATCACTATTCCAGATGGAAAGCTCATCACATAATCCAAATGAAATGTTTTTTATTTTATTTATTTATTTTTACAGGTGGGGTGGCTGCTAATTCCTGGGCAATAGCACAGTAATTTGGGAATTCTGCATGCACTGCATTTATGAATGCAGAGTCAAAATAGGAATTCACCCTTATTGGAAATTGCTCCAGTACACACTGGGCAATGTCCTGTAGTCCCGGTTTTCAATGCAGCTCTTGTATTTTGCCTGTGGCTTTGATACCAGAACCACCTGTAAATCCTGAGGTGATGAGCAGTTGCTGTGGACAACAGAGTCCTCCCCAGATCTACCCTGCCTGAACTGGATCTGCCCCTGCACATGTCATGGCCATGGTTTTGGGGAGGACCAAAGGTGCTGACTTCCCACCTCAGGTGCCACCCCACCTGCCCAGCAGAGATGTGTGTGAGCTGTTTTCTCTGAGTTTCTGTTCCACTGTGCTCCCTCCATGGTAAAACAATGTGCGCATCCTAAACAAAACACCCCATATGCGCTTACTTGGCAGGCAGCAGGGCCAGGTACCAAGGATTGGGATGGTAATGATGCTAGCTGAGATTTTCTGCTTGAAGCATTCCAGTTTTCCAGTACCACCGGAGCAGGATGCTGCTCCTTAACTCCTCAGAAAGCAGAACTACTGGCAGAAATAAGGTTCTGTGGTGGCTGGGCAGTTTCAGAGGAAAGTTGTGCTCTGTACCAGGCCAAAGCAGTGCTCCAGGCACATTTTCAGCCTCATATGTGAATGCAGGATCACACTAGCCACTGCTGCATGCTTGCAAGTGGAGCACTTGAGTTCAAGAGAAAAGCACTCCTCCTCCTCTTGAAAGTTTCTCTCACCACAGACTGACAGCCCCTACGGATCAACTTATTTTCTGTGTAAGCATTTTATTCCAAAACCATAATATTACTGTGCAATGAGCATAATGAAATGTCACCTGTTGTGGGAAAGACAGGTAGGAGACACACTACTGTCATCCTTCACAAAGCCAGCACAAGTGTCGGGATGTAGGATACAAATGAACATGTAGTTGCTCAGTTAAAGTACTGCAATTTTACTTGATCAGCTGTTTAACTGATTACAAAATTATACTTCTGTCAGCAAAATAATAATTTGAGAAACAGATTTGGCAGGCAAGCTGGAAAAAAAACAAACACACCTTTCGTGCCAGGTGGCAGGTGAGAGGAACAGCAGCAGCAGCACCGCAAGCACCCTGAGGCCTTGGTGCCATGCTTTTCCCCCCGTCCTGCATGGGGAAGGCAGGTGGGCTCCCGTGGTGGTTGATGTCCACTTCCCAGAGAAAGCAGGATAAATGTAGTCCTGCTCATCAAGCAGTTAGAAGAAATACAGGCTGCACAGTGTGGGCTCCACGCGCACATGCGGCAGCAGCCAAGGCAGCACTGCCACCTCCGCTGTGGCCATTAGTGAAAGCAATTTGCGCACAAACAATCTGGAAAGAGTTTTCTCAGATTACAGTAAAGTTAATGGAGTTGGAAATTCCTCCTCTTTTGGATTAGCTAGCCTTCTTTATGTAACCTTTAGGTATATCGTGGAGCACGAGGGAGGTTTTGATAGCAGCAAAAGCAATTTGGAAGCGCACAACTGATTTGTAATGGGAGGTCTCTGACAAGGGCCTGGTCCAGGAGCTGCTAACTGTTTTCAGTTGTTACGGGTGTGAAAGCACAAGACCTCCCTGTACCGGTGCCTTTGTGAATGGAGAGGAAAATTAAAACACTTGTAGGCTGATTGTGATTTAACTGACACTTCAAGGGTGGGGGAGAACTGACAAAAACAACAGAACTTTCCCCAGTTACAGCATCACCGCCTCAGTATCAGATTTTCCTGACAGCCAGAGCATTGCAGAACCTCAGGAGCGCACAGCAAGCTGTTGAGAGGAGGGAAGAATAACATAGATGTGCCAATAGAAAAGATGTATTTGAGATTCATTAAAATGAACTGTCAGTCTGAGCCAAAATCAACTGTGTGACACCGATTAATCAAAACATCATAAATCAGCTCTGTTATCCTGCGCATTGGGAATTTCTTCCATATATCTCTGATCACATCATGGATTCTTCATGCCTTTTTTTGCAGTTGCACATTTCCACCTCTTCAGATTTAAGAGCTGTTATTATAGTGTCAAGGTAACTGATTAAAAAAAAAAAAGTCCTTCATTTATATCAGGAGGGAATTGAGCAAAAGGTGTGTTTATTCTTCATCCAGCTCTAGTACACATAAGATTTGACAAAATAAATGAAACTGGGAGAACTCTGTGAAACCTCTTCCCACCTAGAGGGCAGCAGGATGAATCCACGCGCCATAGGTGCTTCTATCAGCAAGTATCTGTGCTTTTACCCCCAGAGAAGAGCTAGAAGGGAAACAGTGAACACTTGCTGTGGTCACCTCTATATGCAGAAGAAAGGAATAAAAGGCCACTGTTCTTTAGTAAAAGACTGGAGCAGCTCTTACACTGCATGATCCTGATCCAAACCCCACTGCAGTCACAGCTGCTAACTTGAGTGGGTACAAAGGGCTGTGTCTTCTTCTCCTCCTCATTGCAGCAATCGAGGCAGGGCAGCCTTGCTGCAGAACTCATGTTCTTTGAAGCCAAGTGCTGTTGAGCATGGAGGCACCCACAGACACAGGACAACCATCTCGGGCACAGCCTGGTCATCCAGGGACTGGTGAGGGCCCATCCACCTTCTTTTAGCTCCCTCTCCCTTCCCTTCCCTTCCCTTCCCTTCCCTTCCCTTCCCTTCCCTTCCCTTCCCTTCCCTTCCCTTCCCTTCCCTTCCCTTCCCTTCCCTTCCCTTCCTCCCTTCCCTTCCCTTCCCTTCCCTTCCCTTCCCTTCCCTTCCCTGCCATTACACTACTGAAAAATACTTATACTTAATCAGCACTACTTAATCCTGTTCACTTCCATCTGTGCCTCGTTGTAGCCTGACACCTCTCCTGTCCTGGGGCCATGGAAAGCGGAGGGTATTTAGTGCAGGCCCTGCTGCTGGAGGCCTCTGGGGAGCAGCTGTCCCCAATCATCCCATCCACAGCCCTTTCATTCCCAGATTACATCTTGTACCAACAGTTTGTGTGTGGGAAAAATCAAAGCTGTCAGGGGCTCCTCCCAGGACGTGCACTTTGCGTAAGGTGCCCCATCATGGGGGCTCGGGCGTTTGACCTCTGCGCTCATGGCGGGTAATGAATTGGGGCCAGGCCGCAGCCGGCAGCGCCGCCACGACGTGCCCCGGCAATGAAAGCCGCCTGTTGTTAACTGCCTGCCTGACTGGTCCCTGGCCCCAGGACTTCCTGGGGCAGCCTCCTGCTTGCGAGGAGGTAAAAAAAAAAATAAAAAAAAATCTCAATGGGATAAAAGGTGCTTCATCATAGCCTTCCTGCCAGTGACCAGGACAGTTGACCGAAAAATCCAAGAATGAAATTTCAGCAACCATAGATAATAATGGAAGTTGAATGCCTGAATAAATCCTAATGGAATAGAAAGATTTGATAATGAAAAGAATTTCTTTTGTATCAGTTCTTCATCCATGCTCCTTGCGATGGACCCACTGAATTATTGGCACTTGCTGCCCCAGGAGGGGACATCAGGCTTTAGTTCCAGCTGATCAGAGCAGTTCCTATGGCTTGACGTGAAACCATGCTTATAAAGCTGCACTCCTTTATGGGTGCAGCTCTGACCCGTAATTCACAGCAGAGCATGACCTGTATTTTGTGTGTCACCCCAAATAGAGCACAGCTGGGGACCTGAGCCCTGCTGCCTGACCGAGCCCTGCAGGGCAGTGGGGCCGTGCTGGGACCCAATGCTGCGGGTCCCACAGGACATGTGGAGCCTGCTCCAGAACGGCACTGCCAGCATCCTGCCTCTCCTGGTTGTTTTCAGCTTCAGACGTGGTCCTTTACACCACACCGTCCTAAAATCGTGCCTGGCTCTGACCTGCCCTCCCAGGTACTAGCAGCTCAGTGTGCAGAAGTAGTTAAATTTCAGTGCGGACAGCACAAGAGTATCCTGCTGAACTGCTATTAATGCTTTAAATAATTACACATCCACCCTCGTATAAAATGCTCCTTTTTGACTGCAGAAACACCATTGCTGAGGATCTCAACGGTACTGCTAGATAAACTTGTCAAACGCGGGTAATATTTTATGAGTGATTTAAGCACTTTTTCCAGTTGTTAAACAAAGGCTTCTCTTACAGCTTGGCTGGTGCATTGCTACTTAGTACCTGGGTCACGTTAAAAAAAAGCGCTGTTATTTTACGAGCAGAGAGAGATGACGCTATCGTGCTTTCTTCCCCACTCTGACGGCTTCCTGTTGCCGACTTGTTGGCAGGTATTTTGCCCTGATGTTATCGGGCCACAGGGCAGAGTTCGGCATGTCCGGACGGCTCTGAGCGACTTATGGGCCCTGTCCCCTCTCCAGCACCGGGAGAAATAATCCCCATTTTTCATGCCGCAAGCTAGGAGACGTTGTCAGGCCTGCACAAACAACGAAAACAGATATTTTGACAAGAAATTTAACTTTTCCCTCCGTTATTTTGTCTAATATTTCTCATGTTTTGTCTATTGTGTTGTAGATTGGTTAAAATAAGAGCACAGGCAATGTGATGTGGTGCGAGCTGGGCGGGAGCCCCTCTGCACAGCCACCTCCAAGTGGATTAGGGAGTTTTAGGGTTTGGGGTGCAGGTGAGGAAAATGCCCCTTCTGCACCTCCTGAGGGAACCAGGCACCCCAAGCTGCCCCTCGGTTACATGACAGCGCCTGGCGTGCCTTGAAAAATTAGGAAATTTGAGGGATGAAATCTCAAGTCTCCACAACCAAGAGGTAGTCCTGCTGTGGTTTCACTGGAGCTCGGCTGTTGCATTGGCTGCTCTGGGCCAAGTCAGACGGGGAACCCCCTGCCTGGGGCCGTGCGAGCAGGCCCCACCAGGCAGGCCTGGGTTAGGGCCTTCAGCAGCAGTCCTTCCAGCAGTGGGCCAGCAGCCTGGGCACTGCGAGTCATGAACTTGTTAATCGCCCACAGATTTTAATAATCATGGAGTGTTAGTGAATACGCTATAGTATAAATGGCTTATTAAACCTAAATTAGATGCAGATTGGGAACATAAATGTGTTATAGAAATTTATGAGGGATCTCAGCAGAGAACTTTCTTAGACTTTGCTGTGAGTGGTACGGAATATCAGCTTCTGAATCAGTATAAAATACTGTGAGCCAGCTGCCAATTACGAGAGAATGTGTCTGTGGAGGCATGTCCCAGAACCTCCATGGATCCCCAAAATTTAATTTGTCAATGGGAATTTCCAGATTTGTAAAGAGCAAATGAATAATTTCCATGTCAGCACAGAACTGTGCCATCTGAAACAGCCAGGTGCAGGTCCCACCGTCTCCATGTTCACTAAGCTCAGGATTTGCAGAAATGGAGCAAGTCTGGTTCTCAGACCTCAGTGAGAACATGTAGACATGCAATTGGCATCCTAAGGGGTTTCCAGAGAAGAGAAGAGAACAGCCACTCCATATTGACTACATGCTTTCTGCAGAGCCAGTCAGTGTTGATGGCTTTCTATCACCTATGAGACCAACACATCTACGATTTCTGTCTCCAGCCCTGCACTTGATTAAAGGACACTCCACATCCAGAGCAGTGTTGTTATACAGAATGCCTGTGTTATCAAATAATAAACCAACTGTCACAATATTGGCTCAAGGTTTAGGAATTTTCTTGCACAGGAAGATTAAGACGATTACAGTTCAAATAAGTACCATTTTTGACTAATTGTTTGCAGATATGGCATAAAAGCGATGGCTTGCTTTGGGAAAGTAGTATGATTTTATGTCACAGATATCTAGCTTAAACATAGCTAGAAAGTAAATGCTCAGATCTGAAACTTGCTTGAATTTGTACTTTGGCATTGACACGAATGGAAGCTGCACTTACAGAGCTGAAGAGCTGTCCCAGCACACTTGTCTCCCCTTTAAATCTGAAAATAGAAAGGCAATTACTAACTTGATTAAGTCATTTGGACTTTTTCTTACAACCACATGGGCAGCACTTCAGCTCCAGCCCAGGCCAGTGGGCAGCACCAAGCCTTCCCTCTCCTGCACCATGCCCACTGGGACACACATACCGACATTTGCTCTGTAACAGCCCTTGAGGAACCTAATGCTTTTTATACCCACTAATATATGGCATTTTTTTTTTTTTTTTTTTTTTTTTTTTTTTTTTTGCATAGGAAAGTCACAAACCCACCACACTTACACTGTTCAATTCAGGGTTCCTGTGCTGCCCATCTGCCAGGAGCCACCAGCATCTTTGCACTTCTCATAGAACAAGGGGAAATGAACATTGTGCCCACATCCCACCTTGGGCCGGCAAGGATCTGGGTTATGCAGAAGACCTCAGAACAGAGCAGTCATTCCTGCTTCCTACTGTAAAAGGCACCTTTGGCTGGCATGCTTCCCTGCTGTGGTGCGACTCACTGCTGCTGGTGACCTGTCCCAGCCTGGACAGCATATTGAGCAAAAGGCATGCAGGCAGCAAGAGCATGGTTCAAGCCTCCTGCTGAATCAGGACTCAGTATGTGACCTTCTTTCTGTCACTTGGTCTTTCAATGTCAAAACCAAAACCAAGTTTAAAAATGAGGAATGCACTGGGAACCAGATGCTCTACCGGATCCAAAACTTTCTGGGTAAATATATTGCAAAGAGCACAAATCATATCACTTCAAACGTTGGGAATGTGTATATATTTAAATATATACAAAATTTGGCTGTTTCTCGACAATAGGTTCATACTCCAGAAGAAAAGAAATCCAGCAGACTGAAATTAATAATGCATTAGAACAAACACAAGTGCATTGTTTCCCATTTAAGGAACAGACTGGATATAAATAAACTCTTACTCATGTTCTGTGATTTAAATAACAGTCATTCTTAGCCTGAGTAACAATTGCACCTTTCAGAAATATAATAGATAAAAATTATTTTCCAGGAGGAAGCTTAGAGGAGTCTTAAACTTGGACTCATCAATGCTTTTGCTGTTGGTTTACTAAAAACACAGAACTGGAATTGACTCGGTTCAAAACCCTGACCCTGAACATCCCCAAAACCTTAGGAGAATGCTGAGCTGGATGAGTGAAATGCAAGCTAAGGCCATTTGTACTTGTGATACTCTGCCGAAAGGTCCCATTTCCTCCACGTGGCCAAATCCCCTTGCTCAGGTTGGCACGGGCATTGCCTCTCACTAACGCCTGATTTTTCTCTTGCCAAGTGCAAGCAGCACACAGGGCATGGAAGCACAGATACAAACATTACCCCAAGACAACTTAGCTAAAATTAGGAAAAATGAACATGGACCATTGAAACATTTGTCTTCATTTTCCTTACAGAGCATGTCTGGTGGCAGCAGGGCACAGCAGTGCTAACGTAGGGAGGGCAGTAGTGGGAATGTTTCTTTCCTCTTGCATTACAGCCCACAAGCAGAGCAGCTTGTGACATCCAAGCTCACTAGGCAACACACAGCTGAGCTAATGCACGTTTAGACATCTCTGACAATGCCTCAGCAAAACACCCATGAGAACTCAGGTAAATGTTTGAAAAGAGTCATTTTAAAATCTGAAATGCAAGGAAAGGGTTCAATTTAATAACCAGTTGTACAGCTCCAAAAGTATTCTCAGTGCTTTACATTCAAACACAGTCAGATCTTTTTTTCTGATAATTTCACCGTGGACAAGTGTGGTTGCAAGGTAGATTACTAGCCACTTCATTTTTATTCTGTTTATGAAAAGTATAAGCCAAGACTATTTTACTGTAAAAGCACTGCAGCATACACAGTGTTTGGAGTGAATGAGGAAAAAAAAGCACATCATAAAGTATTTGTCTTTGCTTATGCTATCAGTTTGTGCAAACAGCTGTCTCATGAGCAAACCTTTTTAAACAAACAGATTTTATTAGTGCACAGTACGGCAAACTGTGGTTATTTCTCACATAACTTTGTTACATGTCAAGCACTGATTTCCTTTTTATGTAAATGAAAGCCTATAAAATGATGCAATTACCCTCCCCACATACATTAGTGTAAATGCTGAGGCGCTACACAAGTCATTTATCTTTTGTACTTTCTGTTAGGCTGCAAGTCAGCGCTGAGCTTTAAATTTTGTTTAAAAGTTCTTGGCTAATTGATCACTTTAGAGATGCTTTAAACACAGGTAAAACACCGACAAAGACTTTTAAAGTAAGCTTTCTTAATGGATGAATTGCAACTATCCATCATCCTGCTTGCTACTTCCCTACCGCCATCCCATTAAACCTAATAAGTTCTATTAAAGCTGTTAACATGTGGCATCTGTTAATGGAAAGTGTATAATGCACAAGGTATGAAGGGGACCCGAGGGCTCGTAGAAGTAAAGTTTGGAACAGAAAGACAAATCCTAACCATTCACGAAGTGAGTGTAGCTGCGGGTCAGTGTTTCAGGCCTCTCTTGGAGACCATTCCCATTTAAAGCCTTGCCTGCATAAGGCAGCCAGGTTAGGCTCACCGATGGAGCTGGCCCATGCACATGTTATATTTCAAATCCTTCAGCAGATGAAACGTAGAAGTTGAAGGAAAAAACATATATATATTTATTTTTGGCTTGAGAAAACAGTGTGACACATGACAAGCCTGGATCTCTTTTGGAGAGCCTGTGCTCTGTATTACTGAGATTAAGTTTGATCATTCCTGAAGGAACACAGAAATCCCCCAACCTGGATGGCAAGGGCTGTAATAGTTGCTCTTAATGTCTGCTGTTAGCTGATTACTGACATCTTGAAAGCATTGCTCAAGCAGGCCTTCTTGCAAGCTTCTGTCATGTGGATGCTCTCTCAGACGGAGAGCATGCATAACAGCAAGTGGTCGACTGGAAGCTTCAAGGACCTGTGTGTAATCAAAAGCTTTGAACTGCTCATAGCTTGGGAGGCTGCTTTACTTGTTACTAGGGGGACTATCAGAATGTATTACAATGACCAAAGCCAGCCCGTGTAGTAACAGCTGTGAGTGTAATCCAAAAATTAGCTCATTAATTCACAGGAAAGTATTTTCTCCTCAGCTTTCATTGCAAAAAATGTGTCTGCTTGTTAGTGAAATCTAGAGCTTTTACTGGAACCTTTAAAACATTAGCAATGCACATGTGCCTCTCTGTGCCTTAGTGGGAGATTTATTAAGTTTATTCTCTAATCTCTGTTTACAAGCAGAAATATGATGAACATAAATCACTTGAAAAAAGATTTCAAGCTACAAACTCATTTTGCTCCTTTCCAATGCCGTTCTTTCAAACCTGCAATTAATTCTTTTCTTTGTTGGCCTGTTTGCTTTTAAAAACAATTTCACTCCACTTGACCTTTGCATTTCTTGGAAAAAAGTTCAAAGTTGGAAAAAACTCTAGATGTTATCTGTTAGTGCTTATTTACCATAGAGAGCGTGCTAAACTTGAGCCGGAGTTTAGGAGCCCCAGAGAGAGACAAGATGCTGCAGTAGTGAGGGGCAAGGCTGGAAGCAGCCCCACAGTTGTGCTGGGGTCATCACCCAGCCCGGTGCACACTGCAGGCATGTTTCGTGCTCCAGCTGTAAACATGAACTTCCACACAATTTGGGACGGTAAAACAGCCTGAGCACACGTTCACGTTTTAATATCTGGCTGCACTTTAAAATCTAACCTGGTGCAGAGCCTGCCAGGATGCCTATCCTGAAAGAAGCATCTCCCTCAGTTTGGGCATCTGGAAGAAACAGAACCAGGGCACAAGGAGCAGTACCTGGCATTTCAGCACGCATCTGGGCCAGCACCGGCTTAAATAAGAGCCTCCAATGAAGGAAACTACATTTAAAATACTGAGTGGCAAGACTAATCCTCAGTTGCAATTGTGTTTAAAACTCCCACAGCTGGGTCTGCTGAGAGTTAAACATGAAGACATACATCCAGCTGACTTTCAAAAAAATACTACATATTTATTTCCAAATGCTTCTTACCTAGTGTTCTTAAAATTAGGTAGACATGATAGCATAAGCATAAAAAGATAAAATAAAATTTGCAATGACAACTACTAAAACAAAACAAAACCAGAAAAGTTAGGGATCACTTGTTTCAACTAATATACAACTAATAGTTTCTCTGCTTTATCACTGTTATTACAAGTAAAAGATAAACAAGGTATAGCTGGCAAAGGCTGGGGGGAAGAAGTGCTTTTGGATGATGCATTACCAGCTCCTGCAGAAAACTTACTACATTGTTGCTCAAATGCAATGTTTCATATCACAGGAACAAACAGTGCAAGTGAGCAATGACACTGCAAATTAAATGTTTATACAGTAGATGCAAAAACTCCAACCTACTACACAAAAATTTCCTTGCAAAACATTCAGGTATCTAGTTTATGCTCTACACAATTAGTACCTTTTCATAACACACTCTTAGATCTTCTTCATTGTAATGAAGACAATCATGAACACAAACAAGTAGAAATATAAACAATAAAGTGTTTTTTGCACTTTAAACAGGAACCAGACAGTCTTGCCAGCCTGCTCTGGCATTGTTTGCAGGGGAATGAATAATAGCAGACATGAAAAATCCCATGGATGCAGCCCTTGTGCTATGTGGTCACTTTCTCTCATGTTTACTTACCCCTGTTTTTCACAGTGCAGCAACTGCTTATGTTTCAGACAGCCTATAAAGTTTGCTCCTTGTTGCCCATTTGCTGCAGGGCTCAAACCACAATGAGCACCGTGCTGCCCACCCTCTGGCACGCAGCTCAGCTGGTGGCACAGGGCATGCCTCGCATGGTCCCACCAGCACCCACCAGGGCAGCCCGTGGTGGTGGTGGTGGAAAACCAGCCCTTCCTAGCCCCAGCCAGCACATGCTCTGCTGTATGGCAAACACACCAATACCGAAAAGCTGAGGGAGCTTAATTAGCTGCAGGGGATTCTTAATTGGTCAATAAATTCGGATGTGCCAGGCCTTTAGCACAGCTTGCTCAGGCCCACATGCTTGTTAGGCAGGACCAACTTTAATTAATGCAGCAGCTTGACAAAAACCCAGATGCCCATGGCAGAGATGAAGATGCTGTGTGCTGTTTGGATGAGCTACAGGAGCGAGGGAGGTTATGTTACAGCTTCACAGGCCAAAACAACCCAACACAACAGTAAACTTTACACTAGACAATTCAAAAAATGTGTATCTTTCTAATCCTATTAGCACTGCACCAGACTGGAAAGCAGGCTGTGGCTCCTTTGGCAGGTCCTGGGCTAGGAGCTCTGCTCAGACCCTTCACTGTGCAATGTGTTCTGCTCAGAGACCACAAGACCCCAGGCATCCCCTGAGCCTGGAGGGGAAGAGGGGCTGAAGGCTTTGGAGCACGCCTGCACGTTCTTCTCCTCAGTGCCTGTGGAAAAGGCCGGGGCAGTTTGTGCGGTCCTGCAAAGTTTCAAGTCCTGAGGACAGGGGTTTGCTCAGGGTCTCCCGAAGGAAGGGCAGACCTTCCCCGAGACATTTCTGCTCTGCAAACACTTGACATGAGCATTTCTGAAGCTCCAAGTGCTCAATCTTGTGTCCACATCAGCACCTCAGCACATTGCACGTCTGTAACGCAGGACTCCAGACCAAAGGCCAAAGTTACTCTCTTTAGTTTACATCTTCCTGAGAAGCAGCTGACTGTCTGCCCTGAAGTAGGAAGAGCAAAGGCAGCGTGCAGTGACATGAACAAATGCTGTAGGCAGGCAGGGACTGATCCGGTAAGACCAAGGCAGCAAGATGCTGAAATGCCAGCAAGGAGACTCCACTTACTGCAACAGGTCAAGCCATCCCAGCTGTTAAACAGAACCAAGAAAAAAAACCAGCTGCCAGAGCATTTCAGTGAGCTTTTAATTCTTCTTTATAAAAGGGAGAGTATTATAAGCTGCTGAACAACTAGTTCTGCAGTGGAGTAGTTGTGGGAACTCCTTTTTCTCTCCACGTACATCATGAAACGTGCAGTGCATGGGCAGAAGGTCCCAGCATGGCTGGGGCTGGCGCTGCAGCAAAACACCATCACATCGCATGGTGCTGCTGCTTCCAGCCTGTGATGTTACACACAGGACTGAGTTGATTTTTCAGCGAGCAGCAGAAAAGCAGCTATTGCAAATCACTGAGGTCTAACTGCATTCTGCTCCTGCCATGGACCCATGTGAACGAATGTGTTTGCAGCACTTTGGAAGGGCTTAAAAACTTTTCCTTCTTTTCCCTCTTACCCACCCGCCCACCCTCCTGCTCCAAAAGAAGTGCTTTTAAAGCAGTGCATTTTAACTCTGTTTACACAAACCAAACACCTATGGGCTTTTACCACAACCCAGGGATGAGCAAGGCACCAGCAGGAGCTTGGCATGGCTGTGCTGGAGGAGCTGCAGAAGTGCTGGGCTGTACAGCTCCATTAATTAGAGACTTTTTTTTTTTTTTTTCAGTGGCAATGCTTGGGGAAAGAGCAAGCACTTTAACATCTCTTTAGAGCTCAGTCCTTCAAGGTGCTGAGCATGTTGGCCATGACCCAGGAAAGCGATTGAACAGAGTGTAACCCTATGCGCCCACGGCTGCAGGCCCTGACCACGCAAACACTTACTGCTGGAGTGAGTGCGGCTTGGGCACAGGTACGGAGCTGGGCCCAAAGCCCCCAGCTGGAAACAAATGTCATTATGGTACATTGAACAGGAAAAAATGTGCCGCTCACTAACTGCATTACGGCAACTTGATCCCTGCCTCAGGAAGAACTGTACTCTGCAAATCTGGTACTCATGACATAAGAGCAACTTTAGTACTTTCTGCAAGATTCACTTTTAACTTCTTAAGGAAGTTTGGTCTGTTTTCAGTGGAAAATATATGACTTAAATCGTCTGTGCTGGTTTTGAGGCCTCTGCTGTCAGCTAAATGATCTGCTGGATCGTGCTTGCAGAAGTAGCGACCATCTATATTGGATCAGGAATAGGGCAATAGCAGTGCTTCAGAAGCATTAGCTAAACTGTTTCACCTCCATTGTATATAGTCCAGATACACGATCTCTGTTTTTTTGTGTTAGAGAGAGAAAAAAGGTTCAACTCTGGCAATACAAAATAATTCAAAGAAAATATGTAATACAGAAAGCTGACAATATTTACATTTAACAGATTGTAGCATTTTGGTTTTCAAAAGGCTGAGTCCAAGGTAATTAAAACTTTGGTGGCCTTTCAGTTTTTAAATTGCAAATAAAGGATAACAAAACCAAGAGAGTGAGGTCTTTCTCCAGCACATGTAGCATGAGAAGTCCATGCTGTCACAGTTTGACAGGTGTGTGCTTGTGTGCTGCTAGGACTGCTGTTGCGCTGAGTTACTCATGAAACCTGAGAGTGTTTGTAAACAGTCTGTACTTTCTCAAAAGTGCCCTGGAGATTTGTTACAGGAAGTCAAATTGCTCAAATCTACCTAATTTGGCACGATACGTTGAAAGCATGCTTGAGTGATCATAATTGCACTGGGACTGACTTCATTTAGCAATCTCTAGGCATACCTTTCCAATAACAACTGCAGGCGATATAAATTCAATCTCTTGTTTGTCTCTGAAAGTGATTAGCCTAAAAAATTTGGAATTTAAACACTCATAATTGCAAAGTGTTATTTATATTCAATTTTGATTTATTAAATAAAAAACTCCCCCCTTTTTCCCCAGGAATGACTTAAGTTATTTTGGAAAGTGAAAGGGACAGCTAATAGAAAGGAAAAAGATAATTCTCATAGGTGGTGAGCGCTGTTCTTACAAGGACACTTTTTCCTGCTACAATTTATAATATTGCAACAAGAGTATAGAAGATTCTGAGGTTTATTTTGTGTGACCTCTTTGCTATGAAACGTTTATTGTTCGTTAGGATGAATATAACTTTTTTTACAAATCTCTGCAGAAATACCTGCAAAGACAAACCAAATCAATGGCGCTGTAAAACTGATATGGAAAAGGGACCTGAAAAAGTCCCATTTTCATTGTGAGTACGACAATTGGTGTTATTCAATATGATGAACAAGACTGGATGAAAGATATTATTTGGTGTGTCCATTCAGTTTTTTAAAACCAATTCATCAAATACATATTGCCGTCCTTATACTGACGTTCTCCAGAAACTGTTGGGGTATACCCCATGATGGGCAAGAACTCTTCTAAAAGTGAATGATGGGAAAATATTTTCAGAAAGGAAATATTGAATTCATAAGTATAGGCAAATACTCATGAGGCCTTTTCAGCAGGATGCTAACTTAAACAAGCCATGTAAAAATAGTACATGACTTCTGTATAAACCCCAAATGTATGAATTCCAATTAAAGAAAAATACGGGGAATGCTTTCTAAACCATGCTGACAAATTATGAGCTGAAAAAAAGTTAAAGGAGAGAGATTTCAAACAGTGAATATGTTGGAAAGATTGATTTCAAAAAGTCAGAGAACAAAACACAAAAACCATTAGAAAATAGTGTCTGCTGAAAACGTCTTTCTTAACCCTAATCACAAGCAGACCCATGTATAGCTTCCTTGCTGCAGTTAAAGAAGAAATGAGAGACTGAGCAAGGCAGTAAAAACCTCCACAAAGGTGGAGGTGCCCCAGCCTTACATTGTCAGGAAGGATGGCATTTTTCTTGCAAAAAAACAGGCACTGAATAAGTCTATTTTCCACACCACCTTATTCATATGTTCTTTTATAAGCATTCTCCACCTTTGCCACCATGCCTACCCTGAACTGTCATTGAGCTCAGCAATATCTGTGCCCATGAACAGGCAAAACTTTGCGCTGGACATCAGAAATATTACATCTTGAGTCAATAGCCCTGATATATGCAGCACACAGATAAGCCAAAAACACCAGCACTTCCCCAGCAAAGCTGCCATCGCACGGTACACGCCTCGGTCAGCAGTACACATCTCACCTGGCGGTGCTGCCCTGCCCACTGCTGCCCTCGCAGGTATCGGTGCCTGCAGCACACGCTTTGAGCCCTGCTGGCAAGGGCAGTGGCAGCATGGAGGGAAGGGCAGTGGCACGTACTGAAAATCAAGTTAAAGCTAAACTGAAAATCAGCTGTGGGATGCCGTGTCGCGCGATGGAGCCTGGCTGCATGGTGCCAGCAGGTGTATGCTGCGGGGAATGGGTTGCTCATGTGGGGCTGGAAGAGAGGAAATTTCTCAGACTGACCAAGCTTTACCTAAAGTTTAGTCTGTTGCTAAAGTAAAAAATTAACCAAAGTGTCCCTAAAATAAAGCCAATCTTCAGGGTGAGTCTGATTTATAAAAGGTCTTTTCCAAACTGGGTGGGACCTTCGCCTACCTAAGCAAATAATTTAGTGCTATAATTTAGCCCATTTCCCCTTCAGCAATACTACTGCTTACCCAAAACATCTCCATTTATTTTTAAACCAAACATATTATTAATTTGATGGGAGGGAAGAGAACAGAAAAAGCGGCACAACCTGAACATCCATCATGGTTGTTTGTGCTCCTTGAAGGACACTGTTGAATTATTGCTATAAACATCCCACATTTGGCTAAACGTTGTTGATATAAACAAGAATTTTTCCTCATTAAGGTAATTTGGTGCAGTCTGAGAAGCTGATTTATCAAGAGAATTAATTAAAGGCAGATATGATTTGTAGCTCTTTGTACTTGTAGATGTTTCAGCGTAAACACTCCCATTAAAATTAAATTACTGCTAATCTGATCCTACTAACAATAGTTTTTAAGGACCCTTCACATATGCAGACACGATGCCTGCATTCCCGTTCGGAGCAGTGCAGCAGAGTCCCAGGCTCGCAGCGGTCACAGTGCACAGGTGGAAGAAGGGCTTTGCAGATGCGTGGTGTGCGGTATGGTACCTTCACACAGAGGTTTGAAGATCTGGGGAGAGAGCAGATGAAAAATTTGTTTTCTCCTCCAGTTATTCCAGATCAACAAGAGGTATAGACTTAAAAGGACTTTCTTGAGCTGGGGGGAGGTTGTAACTAGACAATTAAAATAAAAGCTCTCTCCCTCTCTGATTGGGACTTTGTGTAGTCCACA